GGAGACCAGTTGGTTAAAGGAGTACAAGTCGGAGCTAGACATTACAAGCTAAGGGCATTTGCAGATGACCTAGTACTGACCTTGCAACAGCCAGATACTAGTACTAAAAGAGTATTAGAACTAATTGAGATATTTGGTCAAGTAGCAGGATTTAAACTGAACAAACAGAAAACGAAAGTGTTGGACAAAAATTTAACATTGGCTGAAAAAGAGAAGTTTCAGAATGAAACAGGTTTAGTGATAACGAAAAAGTAAAGTATCTGGGGGTAAACTTAACATCTAAGAATGTCAATTTATTTAAGGACAATTATGACAAATGTTGGACAGAGGTAAAGAAAGATCTAGAAATATGGTCAAGGTTGAAACTCTCTTTGTTAGGTCGAATTGCTGTTATCAAGATGAATGTATTGCCTAGAATGTTGTTTTTATTCCAGACATTGCAGATTTTGGACAAGATGGACTGTTTCAAGAAGTGGCAGAAAGATATATCTAAATTTGTCTGGCAGGGCAAAAGCCCAGAATAAAATTTAAGATTCTAACTGATGCAAAAGATAGAGGGGGTTTGCCCTGCCGGACTTAAGACTCTACTATGAATCGGCGGCTTTCTGCTGGTTGAAACATTGGCTACTTCTTGAGAATACAGACATTTTGGATCTAGAAGGGTTTGACAATAGATTTGGCTGGCATGCATATATATGGTATGATAAGGTAAAACTGCATAAAGGTTTCAAAAACCATATTGTTAGGAAAGCATTATATAATGTTTGGATGCGGTATAAAGATTTATTGGAAAGTAAAACTCCCAGGTGGTTGTCACCAATGGAAGCTAAAGAGGTGAAAAAACTTAATATGGAGTCTAAATGGCCAAAATATTGTGAAATTTTAGAACAAGATGGGGAAAAGTTAAATTACAGAGTTATGAGAAATTAAAGTCCAAAGTGCGAGATTGGTTGCACTACCTTCAGATAAACGAGACATTTAAACAGGACAGGAAAATAGGTTTCCAGAAGGAGAGGTCAAAATTAGAAACAGAACTGTTAGAACCCAATACTAAGAATCTGTCGAGAATGTATAATCTGCTGTTGAAATGGAACACACAGGATGAAACGGTGAAATCAGCTATGATAAAATGGGCACAAGATATTGGTCATAACATTATGTTTGCTGACTGGGAAAAGCTATGGACCACCGGTACTAAATTTACGGCATGTAATGCCTTAAGAGAAAACATTATGAAAATGATGTATAGGTGGTACATGACCCCAGTCAAGCTTGCAAAAATTTATCATCTGCCCAATAACAAATGTTGGAAATGTAATGAGACTGAAGGTACTTTTATCACCTTTGGTGGACCTGCCCGAGGATAAAAGCTTTTTGGGAAATGATCTATAATGAAATTAAGAAGGTTCTTAAATGGACCTTCCCTAAAAACCTGAGGCTTTTCTCCTGGGCATTGTCGGCCAATTGGTGAGAAGGAAGGACAGGACGTTTTTATGTATGCGACCACAGCAGCAAGGATTCTTCTAGCAAAGTATTGGAAGACACAACAACTACCCACACTGGAAGAATGGCAGACGAAGGTGATCGACTACATGGGACTGGCGGAGTTGACTGGCAGAATCCGTGACCAGGGGAAAGAGACAGTGGAAGAAGATTGGAAGAAATTCAAAGTTTATCTTAGAACTTGTTGTAAAATTCAGGAATGTTAAAATGTCAAGGGGTTGTGAAACAGAGAATTGCAGCTGTAATTAACAATATTAGAAGAACTTAAAAGAAATTGAATTGAATAATTAGTCGACTGAGGAGTTGCTGAAGAAATATAAAACAAGGATGCAGAAAAGGGGAGGTATGGGGAAGTCCGGAAAGTAAGGTTTATGAAAAAATGGTTATGAAATTATACATGTTTATATGTTTGTATGTCGGTGTATTGTGTATTGTTTGTTTTTTTATTTT